TTGTCGATGCGCCGGCTTTCGTGCCGCTCGGTCGCCAGGACGTAAAGGCCGCCCGCGTCCAGCGCCTCCTGCTTCAGCTTTTCGACCTCGGCCTCGATCGCCTTTTCCTTGGCATCCCGATCGGGCCCTTGGGGCATGTCGCCAAGTTCCTGCGCGACCCGCATCTCGGCATTGCCGCCCAGTTTGATGTCGGTGCCGCGACCGGCCATGTTGGTGGCGATCGTCACCGCGCCCGGAACACCGGCCTGTGCGACGATGAAGGCTTCGCGCTCGTGCTGGCGCGCATTGAGCACTTCATGCGTCACGCCGCCATTCTTGATCGCGCGGTCGACATGCGCCAGCCCCTCTTCCAGCCATTGGCGCAGTTCGGGCTCCTTGCCCTCCTTGAGGGCGTCCAGCCGGCCCTGCAGCCTGTCGCGCAGCGCCTTGAGGAATTTCTTGTCGCCCAGCATGCGGGCCAGCATTTCCGACTTCTCGATCGACGTCGTGCCGACCAGCACCGGCTGCTTGCGCTGCTGCGCATCGATGATGTCGATCACCACCGCATCGTATTTTTCCTCGACGGTGCGGTAGACCTCGTCATCCTCGTCGATGCGCTTGACCGGCAGGTTGGTCGGGATTTCGACCACGCCGAGCCCGTAAATGTTACCGAACTCCTCGGCCTCCGTCGCCGCCGTACCGGTCATGCCGGCCAGCTTGTCATACATGCGGAAGTAATTCTGGAAGGTGACCGAGGCAAGCGTCTGGTTCTCGGGCTGGATGGTCACCTTCTCCTTGGCTTCCAACGCCTGGTGCAGGCCTTCCGAGAAGCGCCGGCCCGGCATCTGGCGGCCCGTGAACTCGTCGATGATGACCAGATCGTCGCCCTTGACGATGTAGTCCTTGTCACGCTGGAACAGCCTGTGCGCCTTCAGCGCATTGTTGAGATGATGGACGATCGAGACATTCTCGACGTCATAGAGGTTCTCGCCCTTCAAGAGGCCGGCTTCGGCGAGCATGCGCTCGATCTTCTCCGTCCCCTCTTCGGTGAAGGTCGCCGAGCGCTGCTTCTCGTCGATCTCGTAATCCTCGGCGACCAGCCCGGGAATGAAGGTGTCGATCTGCACATAAAGTTCCGAACGATCCTCGAGTGGCCCGGAAATGATCAGCGGCGTGCGCGCCTCGTCGATCAGGATCGAGTCCACCTCGTCGACGATCGCGAAATTGTGACCGCGCTGCACCATCTGCGCGCGCTCATATTTCATGTTGTCGCGCAGATAATCGAAGCCAAGTTCGTTGTTGGTGCCATAGGTGACGTCGCACTCGTACGCCGCCTGCCGCTGGGCGTCGTCCATGCCGTGGACGATGACGCCCACGCTCAGTCCCAGGAACTGGTAGAGCTTGCCCATCCATTCCGCATCGCGCCCGGCCAGATAATCGTTGACCGTGACGACATGCACGCCCTTGCCCGAAAGCGCGTTCAGATAGACCGGCAGCGTGGCGACCAGCGTCTTGCCCTCGCCCGTGCGCATTTCGGCGATCGAGCCTTCATGCAGCACCATGCCGCCGATGAGCTGCACGTCGAACGGCCGCATGCCCAGCGCCCGTTTGGAACCCTCGCGCACGACCGCGAAGGCCTCGACCAGAAGATCGTCGAGGCTTTCGCCGCCCTTGATCCGCTCGCGGAAAGCCTCCGTCTTGCCGCGCAACTCCTCGTCGCTCAGCGCCTCCATCTCCGCTTCCAGAGCATTGATGGCGGCGACGCGCGGCCGCTCGGACTTGATGCGCCGGTCGTTGGCGGATCCGAAGAGTGAGCGGGCAATGCCCCCAAGACTGACCATGAATGGCGGCCCTTTCGTAAGAACGGTCTAGGTCATGCAATTCTGCTGCCCGCGTCCCGGGCGGATTGCGGCGCCCCAACCCGGAAAACAGGCCAACTGCACGGTGGACGCCGGTTGGGTGGACAGATAAGAGTGGCACAAATGCTTGTCAACGCCGCCGCCGGCCACGCTTTCGTTCGCCGTTCGGCCACCCGGCAGGTTCCTCGATCCCAACGGCAGATCGCCGTCGCTACAAGGTCTTTCAAGATGTCTCACCGTGTCAAACGCGTCCGTCCACTTCTTGCCGCCGGGCTGGCGGTGTGGCTGTCGATACCGCTCGCCGGCGCCGCGCTGTCCCAGCAGGCGCAGGCGCCCGATCCGGAAACCGTGATCGGCACGATCAACGGCCGCGACGTGACCAATCGCGACATCGGCTTCGCCATTGGCGATCTGGAGGACCAGCTCGGCCAGGTTCCGCCAGACCAGCAGCGTTTTGCAGCCATGATGGCCCTGATCGACATCGAGCTGCTGGCGGACAAGGCAGAAAGCGAAGGCGTTGCAGATACGGACGAATTCCGCCAGCGCCTCGAATTCCTGCGGTCGCGGGCGTTGCACAACAGCTATTTCCGCGATCAGGTCGTCGAAACGATCAGCGATGCGGACGTGCGCGCCCGCTATGACGCGGAAATCGCCGCCACGCCGCCCGAGAACGAAATCCGCGCGCGGCATATTCTCGTCGAAACCGAGGAAGAGGCACGCGCCGTGATCGCCGAACTGGGTGACGGCGCCGATTTCGCCGAACTGGCCGCCGAGAGATCGACCGGCCCCTCGGGTCCCAATGGCGGCGATCTGGGCTATTTCACGCGCGGTCGGATGGTGCCGCCCTTCGAGGAAGCTGCATTCGCACTCGAGCCCGGCGGCGTCACCGCCGATCCTGTCGAGACGCAGTTTGGCTGGCACGTCATCAAGCTGGAGGACCGTCGGCCCGTCCAGCCGCCGCCCTTCGAACAGGTCGAGGCGCAGGTCCGCTCCGTGCTTTTGCGGGAACGCTATTTCGAGCTTTTGACCACGCTGCGCACCGATGCGACGATCGAGATCACCGACCCCGAGCTCAAGGCCGCCTATGACGCGGCGATCAGCGCCGGCGTCAACGCGGCCGAATAGCTCGCGGACCGCCATACATGCCGATCAAGACTTCTCCGCTCGCACCCAGCAAGCTGGCCGTTCTGCCGCCGATTGAGGGCGTCCGGCTCGGTGCCGCCGCCGCGGGTATCAAGTATGCCGGCCGCACCGATCTGATGGCCATGGTGTTCGATGCACAGGCCGCCGTCGCCGGCGTTCTGACCCGCTCGCTCTGCCCTTCGGCGCCGGTCGACTGGTGCCGCGCCAACCTGCCAGGCGGTCAGGCGCGCATTCTCGTCGTCAATTCGGGGAACGCCAACGCCTTTACGGGCAGGAAGGGCGCCGACGCCACGGCCCTGACTGCCGAAATGGCGGCCGCCGTAATCGGCTGCCCGGTCTCCGAGGTCTTCCTGTCATCGACGGGTGTGATCGGCGAGCCGCTGGAGGCCAAAAAGTTCGATGGCGTGCTGCAGGAAGTCGTGCACGACGCGAACCCGGACCGGTGGGAAGACGCCGCGCGCGCGATCATGACGACCGATACCTTTCCCAAACTGGCGACGCGAACGGCAGAGATCGACGGCGTCACCGTCGCGCTCAACGGCATCGCCAAGGGCTCGGGCATGATAGCCCCGGACATGGCGACGATGCTCGCCTACATCGTCACCGACGCACCGCTGTCGGCGGCAGCGCTGCAGACGCTCCTGACACGGCATGTCGATGCGACCTTCAACGCGATCACGGTCGACAGCGACACCTCGACCTCCGACACGGTTCTGGCCTTCGCCACCGGAACAGCCGGTCTTGCCCCGATCGAAAACGCCGGCGATTCCCGCCTCGCCGCGTTCGAGGCCGCCTTCAAGGATTTGATGGAAGATCTCGCCCTGCAGATCGTCCGCGATGGCGAGGGCGCCAGCAAGCTGATGCGGATCGAGGTCACCGGCGCGCAATCGGACCCCTCGGCCCGGACGATCGCGCTGGCCATCGCCAATTCGCCGCTGGTCAAGACCGCGCTCGCCGGCGGCGATGCGAACTGGGGCCGCATCGTCATGGCCGTCGGCAAGGCGGGCGAACCGGCAGACCGGGACAGGCTCGCCATCCGGTTCGGCGATCTCGCCGCGGCGACGGACGGCAAACGCGCGCCCGGCTATGACGAGGGCGCGATGAGCGCCTACATGAAGCAGGACGAAATCACGATCGGTGTCGATATCGGCCTGGGCGAGGGCCGCTTTACCGCCTGGGGCTGCGACCTGACCAAGGACTATGTCGCCATCAATGGCGACTACAGAAGCTAGGGTTGGAGGACCGATGCCCAAATTGTCGATGGTCAGGCGCATGGAAGCGGTCGGGTTTCGCGCATGGCCGGCCGCATCGGTCCATTATGACGGAAGCTGGGCGGTCCGCCTGACCGCCAGCCATCCCTCGCGGCGCCTCAATTCCGTCAATCCGCTCGATCCGGCCGACAATCGCGAAATCGAACATCGCATCGCCCGCATCGAACAGCGCTTCAAGGCCTATGAACGGCCCATCGTCTTCCGCATGTCGCCGCTGGCGCCGGCCGAAATGGAAGCGCATCTGAACGCGATGGGATGGACTCGGGCGGACGAGACAAGGGTGCTTGCCGCCTCGCTCGGCCAGATCGATCTCGAAGGCGGTTATGAATTGCTGCCGGTGCGCGATATCGGGCGCTTCGTCGATGCGGCGATCACCCTCAATGCCGACGAGCGTGTCAACAAGCCGGGACTGACCGAGCTGCTGGAAAGCATCCGTCCGCCCTTCGGGATGTTCGTTGTCGAGGACGATCAGGGGCCAGCGGCCACCGCCCTGTGTGTCCACGACAATGAAATGGCCGGCCTGTTCGAGATCGCCGTGCGCGATGGGCTGCGCAACAAGGGCTATGGCCGCTCGATCGTGCGCGCCGCCCTCAGATGGGCCGCAGCCCAGGGCGCGACAACCGGCTGGCTGCAAGTGGAAGCGGCAAACACCGCTGCCAACGGCCTCTACGGCCGGATGGGCTTTGAAGAGGTCTACCGCTATGTCTATCGGATGCGGGGCGACTGAGCGGTGAACACCAAACCCCTGATGCTGGTCGCCGCTTGCGCGCTGGTCGACCGCGAAAACCGTATCCTTCTGGCACAACGGCCGCCCGACAAGGCGATGGCGGGCCTGTGGGAGTTTCCCGGCGGCAAGTTCGAGCCCGGCGAGACGCCCGAACAGGCGCTCATCCGCGAACTTGAGGAAGAACTGGCCGTTCGGACCCAGGCCGCGTGCCTTGCGCCGCTCACCTTCGCCAGCCATGCCTATGCGGACTTCCACCTGTTGATGCCTCTTTACATCTGCCGCAAGTTCGATGGCATCCCCGTTTCGCGCGAAGGGCAGACGCTCAAATGGGTGCGCGCGCGCGACCTGCGCGACTATCCGATGCCGGAAGCCGACGCCCCGCTCGTGCCGGTGCTGCAGGACCTTTTGTGAACCGGCGGACGCGGCGTGTCGGCTGCGTTTAGCGTTAAGCAATCGTTTATGGGATCGCGGGACAATGATCGCCGTGCGGCCTGCCAGCGACAATCGCCGGCCGCCATCGGGGTACGGTCATGAGTGATGACAATCAGTGGTACGCGCCGGTCGAACCCAAGCGGTCGGCCGTGCTCGACTGGGGCAACAATCTGTTGCGGGCGACCTTGCTTTTCGGTGTACTGGCCGTCGCCGTGGCCATGTTCGCGACACCCTATCTTGAAAGATCGAGCGCGCGCATCGCCGCAGAGCGGTCCAATCCCGGCATCGATTTCATGACCACCGCATCGACGCCGCAACAGCGCGCGGCCTATACCATGCGCCGCAGCGTCCTGCAGAATTCGCCAAACGCCGTCTGCATCATCCATGCCAATGGAACTCGGACGGGCGACTGCTCGCGTTAAGGTATCGTCGGGTATGCAACCATCGCTTAACCACGCTTCGTAAACACGTGCCGCGGGCCGATGGGCCGAACATCGCGTTAACCCTGCCGCGCTAGTGTGACGTAGCGAGAGGTGATTGCAATGTTCCTTAACTTCCTGAAAGACGAACGCGGGTCGACAGCCATTGAATATGGGCTCATTGCCGCGCTCATTGCCGTAGGCGTGATTGCGGGAATGACCGCCACAGGCACGAGCCTGAACGAGCTTTACGACACCAACAATGGCGAGATCGGCGCGGCGCTCGACTGATAGCCCGTTCACGGCTATCGCGATCAGAGCTTGGACCGAAGCGCCTCGGCCAGGGAGTGGGTTGCGCTGCCGGGTCTGAGCGGCTTTGGCTGGCTTGCGTCCGGCACCCAGCCCGACATCCAGACAAACGAGAACGTCGCGCGCACCCGGCCATCGGGATCGGCATGGCGCTCGGCATAAAGACGCACCGCCTCGAAAAGCACAGCGCGCCGGGTGACGTGCCTTGGGCGGGCGACCAGCGCGTTGGCCGCTCCCATGGCGCGCAGATCGCGCATCAGATCGAGCGCGCTGTCGTAGCGCACCGTGACCGTGTCATGATCGGCGACGGGCAGCGCGAACCCGGCCCTTTGCAGAAGCCCGCCGCCATCCCGGACATCCATGAACGGCAGGATGCGCGGCGCCGCGCCGCCGGAGACCATCGTCTCCGCCTCGGTCAGACATTCGCGCAGTTCGCTCAGCGTTCCGCTGGACGGCGCGCAACCGAGCAGCAGTCCGTCCGGGCGCAGGGCGCGCCGGATTTGCACCAGCGCTCCCGGCACGTCGTTCATCTCGTGCAGGTCGAGGATAGAGACGGCCAGATCGGCCCCCGCCTCCGGCACATCCAGCGTCTCGTCACCATCGAAGACGACCCGATCGACCGATGCGATCTTGCCGGTGGCGGCGAGCGTCCTGGCAATCCGGTCCGCATGCGGACCGATCGCCAGCGCACGGTCAAAAGACCGCGTCGTCACCGCAATCCGGTCGGCCAACTCGTCGAGCGCATGCACCAGCAGGAAATCGGCTCCGGCAACACCAAGCCGGGCCGCCCGCGCATGGTTGGCGGCGCGTTGCTTTTGATCGATAATGGCGCGCATGGGCGGCCGATACCTCTCTTTGACAGGCGACATGATGAGCCTTGGGCGTCAATGGGCGATAACGGCCGGCCGCGCAACAGGCGCGGTCCTGTTCCCCGACGCGTGTCTGGCCTGTGGCCGGCACGTGGCGCGGCACGGAACGATGTGCGCCCGGTGCTGGCCCGACATCGCCTTTATCGAGCAGCCGCTGTGCGACGTCAGTGGCGTGCCCTTCGCGCACGATTTCGGCAGCCGGATGGTCAGCGCCGACGTCCTCGCCAACCCGCCGGTCTATGACAGGGCGCGCGCGGCATGCGTACATGCGGGCGCCGCCAGACAGCTCGTCACGCGCCTTAAATATGGCGACCGCACGGACCTTGCACCCTGGATGGCCCGTTTCATGGCCAGGGCCGGCGCCGAACTGATCGGAGAGGCCGACGTGATCATACCGGTGCCGCTGCACCGCGGCCGCATGTGGCGCCGCCGTTTCAACCAGGCCGCCGAACTGGCCCGGGCGCTTTCCGCGACAAGCGATCTGCCCATGGCTGCCGGTGCGCTGACGCGGCAAAAGCGCACCCGGCCGCAGGTCGGCCTGACGGCCAATCAGCGCCAGGTCAATGTGCGCGGTGTCTTCAAGGTACCGCCAGGCCAGGAGATCGCCGTGGCCGGCCGTCGGGTGTTGCTGGTCGACGACGTTCTGACCACGGGGGCGACCGTCGATGCAGCGGCCAGAGCGCTGAAGAAGGCCGGCGCCATGTCGGTCCTGGTGCTGACCTTTTCGCGCGTCGTCGGCGGACGGCGTAATCCGGGCCAATCCGGCCCCTGAGCCGCAAGCCTTTCACTTGAACGCCGCACGGCCTATATCGCGGCCAGACGGATGATCGTTTCGGAAAGACGACACATGGCAAACGTGACAATCTACACACGACAATTGTGCGGCTTTTGCACCGCGGCCAAGCGGCTGCTGGACAGGAAGGGCATCGCCTATGTCGAGCATGATGCAAGCTTCGATCCGGCGCTGAAGCGCGAAATGATCCAGAAGGCCAATGGCCGCGCCACCTTTCCGCAGATCTTCGTCGGCGACACCCATGTTGGCGGCTGCGACGATCTGATGGCGATGGAGCGCGCCGGCAAGCTGGACGCGCTCCTGGCGGCGTGACCACGATGCGTGTCGCCTGCATCCAGATGCGGTCGGGCACCGATCCGGACCGCAACACCGAGGACTTCGCGCGGCTGGTCGGCGAAGCCGCGGGCGCCGGTGCGCGCTATGTCCAGTCGCCCGAAATGACGGGCCTGGTCCAGAAGGACCGCGACGCGCTGATGCAGGCCGTTCGGCCCGAAGGCGACGATCCGGTGTTCGCCGCCGCCGCCCGGTCGGCGGCCACCCACGGCATCTGGCTGCATGTCGGGTCCACGCCGATCCTGCGCGAGGACGGCAAGGTGGCCAACCGCGCCGCGCTTTTCGCGCCGGACGGCTCCCGCGCGGCGACCTACGACAAGATCCACATGTTCGACGTCGATCTTCCCAATGGCGAAAGCTGGCGGGAATCGGCGATCTACGCGCCGGGCGAGGCACTTGTAACCTCGGACATGGACGGCGCCACGCTGGGCCTTGCCATCTGCTACGATGTCCGGTTCCCGCACCTGTTCCGCGATCAGGCCCGCGCCGGAGCCACCGTCTTGACGGCGCCCGCCGCCTTCACCCGCCAGACCGGCGAGGCCCATTGGCATGTCCTGATGCGCTCCCGCGCCATCGAGAACGGCGCTTTCGTGATCGCCGCCGCCCAGGGCGGCGTCCACGAAGATGGCCGCGAGACCTACGGCCATTCGCTTGTCATTGATCCCTGGGGCGCGATCATCGCCGAAAAGGATGATGACGAACCGGGCATCGTCGTCGCCGACATCGACCTTTCCGCGCCGGCCGCGGCGCGTGGCAGAATACCCAACCTGCGGAATGCGCGGTCCTATGTGCACGAGAAAAGACCGGACGAGACGACACGATGAAATTCGCGCTGCATTGCGACAAGGGCCATGAATTCGAGGCCTGGTTCCGCTCCAACGAGGACTATGAAACCCAGGCAAAAAGGGGCTTCGTCGAATGCCCCGCCTGCGGATCGATCAAGGTTTCAAAGGCCCTGATGGCGCCGCAGGTGGCAACCGGCCGCGCCAAGGATGCGCGCAAGGAGGCGGTCATGGTCGCCGCCGGCCAGGCGATGCGTCGCGAGATGGTCGAGAAGATGCGCGAAGTGACGCGGCAGGTGAAGGCGCAGGCCGAGGATGTCGGCGAGAAGTTTCCCGAGCAGGCGCGGCAGATGCATTATGGCGAGACCGATGCCAGGCCGATCTACGGCAAGGCTTCGCCAGACGATGTCGAAAGCCTGGTCGACGAGGGCATCGACATCATGCCGCTGCCGGATCTGCCCGAGGATTTGAACTGACGAAGACGGACCATCCGGTCACAGCCAGCTTGCCGGGTCGCGTGCACCGTGAACCACCGCGACGATCAGGACGCCGTCAGCAAGCGGCTCATAGATCAAGATGTATGATCCCTCGATCAAAATCCGGGCCGTCTGGCTGAGTTCCGGGCGGGGGGCGCCCATATTGGGCTGGGTTGCCGCCAGTTCAAATTTTTCAAAGAACCGTCGGACCAATTTGTCGGCGGCAGCCGGGTTTTCAACAACGATCGTGCGCCATATGTCTCCTATGTCCTGCTCAGCACGCGGACTGAGCAGAAATCTAGCCACCTGCGTCCGACTGCTGTTTCAATTCGGCGAGAAACGTATCTGCACCGACCGGCCGGCCCTCACCGCTTGCCATGCCTGCATCGTATGCACGCTTTAAGCGCGCTATTTCGCGCTTGCGTAGATGCTCGCGCTGTTCCCATAGCCGCAAGGCATCACGAACGATTTCGCTGCCGGAGGCATACGCGCCCGCGCGCACCGCCTCGTCCATCTGCGCAACCTGTTCGGCTGGCAGAGAGACTGTCAGGGATTTCGTGTCAGGGCCGTTCATGGGTCAAAAATGCCATGCATGCACGCGTTTCACAAGGTCGCCCCTTGCACTGCGCCGCACCGAGAAGGTCAAGCGCCGCGCCGCGCCACGACCATATAGTTGACATCCATGTCGCGAGACAGGCGCCATTCGTCGGCCAGCACATTGTAGAAGACGCCGCTGCGGTCGAACACTTCGACACCTGTTCCGGAAAGCGCCGCATCGATTTCCGATGGCTTGACCAGCTTTTCGTACTGGTGCGTGCCCCTGGGCAGCCAACCCAGCACATATTCGGCGCCAACGATCGCCAGCCCCCAGGCCTTGGTGGTGCGATTGATCGTGGCCACGAACATCAGCCCGCCGGGCCGCACCATCGCCGCGCAGCTCTTCATGAACAGGTCCACATCGGCGACATGCTCGACCACCTCCATGTTGAGCACGATGTCGAACGTCTCGCCGGCCGCCTCGAGCGCCTCGGAGGTCGTGGCGCGATAGTCGACGTCAACTCCCGATTGATCGGCGTGGATTTTCGCAACTTCGATGTTGGTCTCGGACGCGTCCGCGCCGACCACATCGGCCCCCAGACGTGACATTGGCTCGCTCAAGAGCCCGCCGCCGCAGCCGATGTCGAGCAGCCGCAGCCCCTCGAACGGTTTCGGCGCATTCGGATCGCGACCGAAATGGGCGCACACCGTGTCGCGGATGTAGGTCAGGCGGACCGGGTTGAACTTGTGCAGCGGCTTGAACTTGCCCTTCGGGTTCCACCATTCCGCCGCCAGCCGGGAAAACCGGTCCACTTCGGCCTGATCGATCGTGGTGGCGCTGTCGCTCATCTGATGCTCCGCATTGTCGTCCGCCGATGCAAGTCGGGCGGAAGGGCGGCCAAGTCAACCCATGCGCTTGCTTGCGGGGTGCGGCATAGTCCGCTATGGACCGCGCGTTTCGTGAACACCCACCCGCCGGACCCGCCCAAAATGGCCCGCATCGTGATGAAATTTGGCGGCACGTCCGTCGCCGATCTGGACCGCATCTGCAATGTGGCGCGGCACGTCAAGCGCGAAGTCGATGCCGGCCACCAGGTCGCCGTGGTCGTCTCCGCCATGGCCGGAAAGACCAACGAGCTGGTGGAATGGGTGCGCCAGATGCCGGTGACGGCCGGCGCCGGCGCTTCCTTCTACGATGCGCGCGAATATGACACGATCGTCTCCTCGGGCGAACAGGTGACGAGCGGGCTTCTGGCCATCGCCCTGCAATCGATGGGCGTCGATGCACGCTCCTGGCAGGGCTGGCAGATCCCGGTCAAAACGGACAATGCCCACGGCGCCGCCCGCATCGCCGACATCGAGGCGGACGCGCTGAACGAGCGCCTGTCGATGGACCAGGTAGCTGTCGTTGCCGGCTTTCAGGGCATCGGTCCCGACAATCGCATCGCCACGCTCGGGCGCGGTGGATCGGACACGTCGGCGGTGGCGCTGGCTGCGGCGGTTCGCGCCGACCGCTGCGACATCTACACCGATGTCGACGGGGTCTACACCACCGATCCCCGCATCGAACCGGCCGCCCGCCGTCTGGCAAGGGTCTCCTTCGAGGAGATGCTGGAAATGGCCTCGCTCGGCGCCAAGGTTCTCCAGGTGCGCTCGGTCGAAATGGCCATGGTGCACAATGTGCGCACCTTCGTGCGCTCCAGTTTCGACGCACCCGACGCGCCGGGCATGAACGACTTCGACAACCCGCCCGGAACGCTGATCTGCAGTGAGGACGAGATCGTGGAACATGAAACCGTCACCGGCATCGCCTATGCCAAGGACGAAGCGCAGATTTCGCTGCGCCGCGTCGCCGACCGTCCCGGCATTTCGGCCGCCATCTTCGGCCCGCTCGCCAAGGCCGGCATCAATGTCGACATGATCGTGCAGAACGTCTCCGCCGATGGCGATTACACCGACATGACCTTCACCGTGCCGTCCGGCGATGTGGACAAGGCCGTTGCCGCGCTCGAACAGCACAAGCAGGCAATCGGCTACGATACCGTCCAGTCCGAAACGGGCCTTGCCAAGGTCTCGGTGATCGGCATCGGCATGCGCAGCCATGCCGGCGTCGCCGCGACCGCATTCCAGGCGCTGGCCGACAAGGCGATCAACATCCGCGCCATCACAACGTCCGAAATCAAGATCTCCATCCTGATCGACGGCGACTATGCCGAACTGGCCGTGCGGACGCTGCACGGCGTCTATGGGCTCGACAAGGCCTGACCCGGCGGTCCAGATTGGCGCCATGAGCGCCAACCGATTTGCCGGACCCGACGGGCCGCCCGCGACCCGCGACAAGGACGCGGGCTCCCGCGTGCTGCTCAAGCGCATCCGCGAAATCATGGCCGAGCCGATGGCGCCGCAGCAGCGCCTCGACCGGATCGTCGCCCAGATCGCCCAGTCGATGGTCGCCGAGGTCTGCTCGGTCTATGCGCTGCGCGCCGACGGCGTTCTCGAACTCTATGCCACCGTCGGCCTCAATCCCAAGGCCGTCCACCAATCCCAGTTGCGGCTCGGCCAGGGCCTCGTCGGCACCATCGCCGCATCCTCGCGCCCGCTGAACCTTGCCGAAGCGCAAAAGCACCCGGCCTTCGAATACCTCCCCGAAACCGGCGAGGAACTCTACAATTCCTTCCTCGGCGTGCCGATCCTGCGAGCCGGCCGGACGCTGGGCGTGCTCGTCGTTCAGAACGAAGCCCACCGCGCCTATGGCGACGATGAGGGCGAGGCGATGGAAACGGTCGCCATGGTGATCGGCGAGATGATCGCCACCGGCGATCTGAGAAGCCTTTCTTCAGCCGGCGTCGAACTCGATCTCGCCAAGCCGGTCACACATCACGGCCAGCCCCTGTCCGAAGGCATCGGGCTGGGACATGTCGTCCTGCATGAACCGCGCGTCGTCGTCACGGCCATGTTCAACGATGACACCCAGGCCGAACTGGAGCGGTTGGCGGCCGCGCTCTCCAGCCTGCGATTGACCATCGACGACATGCTGTCGCGCGGCGATGTGGCATTCGAGGGCGAACACCGCGACGTGCTGGAAACCTATCGCATGTTCGCCCACGACAAGGGCTGGGTGCAGCGCATGGAGGAGGCGATCCGCAACGGCCTGACCGCCGAGGCCGGCGTCGAGAAGGTGCAGAGCGACATGCGCGCGCGGCTGAGCACGGTCACCGACCCTTATCTGCGCGAGCGCATGAGCGATTTCGACGATCTGGCCAATCGTCTGCTCCGCCAGCTGATCAGCGGCGAACCGTCCCACGGCGCAAAGTCCCTGCCCGAGGACGCCATAATCGTCGCCCGCCACATGGGCGCCGCCGAGCTGCTCGACTATCCGCGCGACAGGCTGCGCGGGCTGGTCCTGGAGGAGGGTGCGCCGACAAGCCATGTGGTGATCGTCGCACGCGCCATGAACATACCGGTCGCCGGCGGCGCCAAGGGTGTCGTCGCCATGTCCGATTCGGGCGACGCAATCATCGTCGACGGCTTGTCCGGCCATGTGCATCTGCGGCCCCAGCCCGATGTCGAGGCGGCTTACGCCGAAAAAGTCCGTTTCCGCGCCCGCCGCCAGGAGGAGTATCGCACGCTGCGCGACCGTCCTTCGGTCACCGCCGACGGCCATCCCGTCTCGCTCTTGATGAATGCCGGTCTTCTGGTCGACCTGCCGCAGGTCGACCAGTCGGGCGCAGCGGGCATCGGCCTGTTCCGGACCGAACTGCAATTCATGATCGCCGCCACCTTTCCGCGCGCCGAGGCGCAGGAGCGGCTTTACCGGTCGGTGCTCGATGCCGCCGCCGGCCGGCCGGTCACTTTCCGCACGCTCGATATCGGCGGCGACAAGGTGCTCCCCTATTTCCGCAACGCCCCCGACGAGGAGAACCCTGCGCTCGGCTGGCGCGCCATGCGGCTGGCGCTGGACCGTCCCGGCCTGCTGCGGACCCAGGTGCGGGCGCTGCTGAAGGCCGCGTCGGGCCGCGAATTGCGGCTCATGCTGCCGATGGTCACCGAACTGCACGAGATCGACCAGGCGCGCGCGCTGATCATGCGCGAGGTCAAGCACTTGTCGCGTTTCGGCCACGGCTTGCCGCTGACGTTGCGGATCGGCGCCATGCTGGAAGTGCCCTCGCTGCTGTTCGATCTGGACGGTCTGATGGAGAAGGTCGACTTCGTGTCCATCGGCTCGAACGACCTGTTCCAGTTCATGTATGCCGCCGACCGCGGCAACAGCCGTGTCGCCGACCGGTTCGAAACCCTGTCGCCGACCTTTCTGCGCGCGCTGAAATCGATCGCTGACGCCGCCGCCCGGCACGAGACGCCATTGACACTGTGCGGCGAAATCGCCGGCCGGCCGTTGGAGGCCCTCGCCCTTGCGGCGCTCGGCATCACAACCCTGTCCATGTCGCCGGCGGCCATCGGCCCGGTCAAGGCCGCCATTCTGAAGACGGACATGGCCGCCCTGCGCGCCGCGATTGCCGATCCGCTTGAAAACGGCAGCACGGGCGCCGATATCCGTAACATTATCCGCGAATATGCCGAAGCCCACGCCATTGCCCTTTGACAGGCGGTCAGGGGCCGCTATCAACCCGCCATGCTCGATCTGCCAGCCGACAAGATGGACCAGATGGTCAAGCGCTTCGACATGCTCGAGGCGCAGATGGCCGAAGGCCCCGACAGCGAGACCTATGTGCGGCTCGCCGCCGAATATGCGGAACTAGAAGAAATCGCCGGCAAGATCCGCGAGTATCGCCAGGTCGAGGCCGAACGCGACGATCTCGACGCGCTGCTGTCCGACGCCGAGATCGACGCCGAGATGCGCGCCCTTGCCGAAGAGGAACGGCCCGAGCTGGATGAACGGCTCGAAGCGCTCGGGCAGGACATACGTTTGCTTCTGCTGCCGCGCGACGCCGCCGACCAGCGCAGCGCGATCCTCGAAATCCGCGCCGGCACGGGCGGGCTGGAAGCCGCGCTTTTCGCCGGCGATCTGTTCCGCATGTACGAGCGCTACGCCGCCGCCCATGGCTGGAAGATGGAGATTGTCTCGGCATCGGACGGCGATGCCGGCGGCTACAAGGAGATCATCGCCCAGGTCGAGGGCAAGGGCGTCTTCTCGAAGCTGAAGTTCGAGTCCGGCGTCCATCGCGTCCAGCGCGTGCCCGAAACCGAGGCCGGCGGCCGCATCCATACCTCGGCTGCGACCGTTGCCGTCCTGCCCAAGGCCGAAGAGGTCGATGTCGACATCCGCAACGAGGACATACGCATCGACACGATGCGGGCGTCGGGCGCCGGCGGCCAGCATGTCAACACGACCGATTCGGCGGTGCGTATCACCCATGTTCCGTCCGGCATCGTCGTCGTTCAGGCGGAGAAGTCGCAGCACCAGAACCGCGCCCGGGCCATGGAGATATTGCGGGCCCGCCTGTATGACGAAGAACGGCGCAAGGCGGCCGAGGAGCGCTCCGAGGCGCGGCGCTTGCAAGTCGGTTCCGGCGACCGGTCCGAGCGCATCCGCACCTACAATTTTCCGCAGGGGCGCGTCACCGACCACCGCATCAACATGACGCTGTACAAGCTGGACCGGGTGATGGAGGGCGATCTCGACGAAATCGTCGATGCGCTGACCGCCGATCATCAGGCCAGGCTGCTCACCGAAGAGGCGGCGGCATGAGATGACCGGGTCGGCAAGCCTTCAGGACGCCTATGACGATGCGGTCGCCCATCTGTCCCGCGCCGGCTCGCCGACGCCCGATCTCGATGCGACGCTTCTGGTCGAGCACACGACCGGCATGACCGCGCTGGACCGGCTGACCCAGCCCGACAAGCCGCTCAACCCGCGCCAGCACCAGGCGCTCAGGACGGCGATCGCCCGGCGCATGAGCCACGAACCCGTCCACCGGATCATCGGCTGGCGCGAATTCTACGGGCTGCCCCTGTCGCTGAACCCGCACACGCTGGTGCCGCGCCCCGACACCGAGACGCTGATCGATCTGGTTCTGCCGTTCGCCCGCCACCGCGCCGGCGAAACCGGCAGCTGCCGGGTGCTCGATCTGGGCACCGGAAGTGGCGCCATCGCACTCGCCATCCTCAACGAGGTGCCCAAAGCGGTCGCGACCGGCACCGACGTGTCCGCCGAAGCGCTTGAGATGGCCACGCGCAATGCGCAAGGGCTCGGCCTGTCCGAGCGCTTCACCGCGCTGCGCTCGGACTGGTTCTCGGCGCTTTCGGGACAGTTCGACCTGATCGTCTCCAACCCGCCTTATATTCCGACGGCGGTCATCCCGACGCTGGACCCCGATGTGCGCGATCATGACCCGCTTGCGGCGCTCGACGGCGGCTCGGACGGGCTCAACGCCTACGGGCTGATCGCCGCCCGGGCACTGCCGCATCTGGCCGACGGCGGGCGAATCGCCGTTGAGATCGGCAAGGGCCAGAGATCGGCGGTCGCCGGACTTTTTGCGGCCGCCGGCATGCAGGTTGCAGCCAGCGCACAGGACCTGAACGGCCTCGAAAGGGCGATACTGTTCAGTTGCTGACACGAATTCGTGCCAAAAAGCGAAAAAATGCCTTGGCAATCTGTCCCGCGCTCGCTACCACTAGGCAAACAGGCCGATACACGAGACTGATCGGCAGTCAGGCAACCGACAGCACCAAGATTTTTCCCGCATGGCTCGAAAGCCGGCGGCGCGCGGTTCCGACATGTTTAGTCGCAGGGGCGATCTGACACGATGATGACCAATCGCAAGCGATCCGCTTGCCATGACGGTAACACCATTGAACCCGCGCGCCGAAACGTTTCCTCACCAACAAATTGCGCAATGCAAGCCGAATAACCCGAACATGAGAGATTGATGAGACCACAGCAACAAGGACGCCGTTCGCGCAATCGTGGAAGCGGACGGCGCAATCAGAACCCGCTCCAGCGCAGTTACGAGAGCAACGGTCCTGACGTGAAGATCCGCGGCAATGCCCAGGTCATCGCCGACAAATACGCAACGCTCGCGCGCGATGCGCTGTCGTCGGGCGATACGGTGATGGCCGAGAACTATCTGCAGCACGCCGAACATTATAACCGCATCATCCTGGCCGCGCAGCCGCAGCCGCGCGAGGACGATGACGAGCAGGACGACAACCCGCAGCAGGCCTCGGGCGATGACCGGCAGGGACGCGACGATGGCCAACAGCAACAGGGCCGCCGCAACCGCAACCGCCGTGACCGCGACGAACGGAACGAGGACGCCGAGGACGGCCAGCAACAGAACGGGGCCACCGCCGAAACCGGTGACAGCCAGGCCGATGCCGGCGCGCAGCCTCAGCCCGTGATCGACGGAACCCCCGCCGAGGTGCGCGAGGAAGAGGCCCAGCAGACCGCAAACGCCGACGAACCCGCCAAGCCCAAGCGTCCACGCAAGCCGCGCAAGAAGCCGGCCGACATCGAGGCATCGTCCGGCGACGAAACCGATGGCAAAGAAGCGCCGGTCGCGGCCGAATAAGCCGCGCCAAGCCCGACGAATGACAATGCGAACCGGCGCGCCCTCGGGCGTGCCGGTTTGTTTTTGCGTCCTTTTCCCCTTTATTCGCGCCCAACCCGTCACCATATCGTGATCGTATCAGGGGCTCGCCGCCTGGCGGGGGCCCGTCATCGATTGAAGCCGCGCATTGCCTTTGAGGGATGCGGGGAAGATTGGAGACGACAAGACCATGAATCTGGAAAACTATTCCGAACGCGTGCGCGGCTTCATCCAGTCCGCGCAGACGCTTGCTCTGGGCTCGAGCCATCAGCAGTTCACGCCCGAACACATTCTCAAGGTGCTGGTCGACGATTCGGAAGGCATGGCCGCCTCTCTGATCGAGCGCGCCGGCGGCAACGCCAGGGATGTGCGCATGGGTGTCGAGACGGCACTCAACGCGCTGCCCAAGGTCGAGGGCGGCAACGGCCATCTCTATCTCGCCCAGCCGCTCGCCAAGGTGTTCACCACCGCAGAAGACATCGCCAAGAAAGCCGGCGACACCTACGTGACCGTCGAACGGCTGCTGCTGGCGCTTGCGATGGAAAAGTCGGCCAAAAGCGCCGACATTCTGGCCAAGGCCGGCGTCACGCCGACCGCGCTCAACCAGGTCATCAACGATGTCCGCAAGGGCCGCACGGCCGACACGGCAAGCGCCGAGGAAGGCTATGACGCGCTGAAGAAATATGCGCGTGACCTGACCGCCGATGCGCGCGAAGGCAAGCTCGATCCGGTGATCGGCCGAGACGACGAAATCCGCCGGACCATCCAGGTCCTGTCGCGGCGCACCAAGAACAATCCCGTGCTGATCGGCGAGCCCGGCGTCGGCAAGACCGCCATCGCCGAGGGGCTGGCCCTGCGCATCATCGATGGCGACGTGCCCGAGAGCCTGCGCGACAAGCAGTTGATGGCGCTCGACATGGGCGCGCTGATCGCCGGCGCCAAATATCGCGGCGAGTTCGAGGAACGGCTGAAAGCCGTCCTGTCCGAAGTGCAAAGCGCCGACGGCAACATCGTCTTGTTCATCGACGAAATGCACACGCTGGTCGGCGCCGGCAAGGCCGACGGCGCGATGGACGCTTCCAACCTTTTGAAGCCGGCGCTCGCGCGCGGCGAACTGCACTGTGTCGGTGCGACCACGCTCGACGAATACCGCAAGCATGTCGAAAAGGACGCCGCGCTCGCCCGCCGCTTCCAGCCCGTCTTCGTCGGTGAGCCGACCGTCGAGGACACGGTGTCGATCCTGCGCGGCCTCAAGGAAAAATATGAACAGCACCACAAGGTGCGCGTCTCGGACACCGCCCTTGTCGCGGCTGCGACCCTGTCAAACCGCTACATCACCGACCGGTTCCTGCCCGACAAGGCGATCGATCTGGTGGACGAAGCCGCTTCGCGCCTGCGCATGCAGGTGGATTCCAAGCCCGAGGCGCTCGATGAACTTGACCGCAGGATCATCCAGCTCAAGATCGAGCGCGAGGCTCTGAAGGTCGAGACCGATCAGGCCTCGAAGGACCGGCTGGCATCGCTGGAAAAGGACCTGGCCGGCCTTGAGGAGGAATCGGCGCGACTGACCGCCGCCTGGCAGGCCGAAAAGGAAAAGCTCGGCACCGCCGCCGATCTGAAGCGCGAACTCGACGAAGCCCGCAACGAACTGGCCATCGCCCAGCGCTCGGGCGAGTTCCAGCGTGCGGGCGAGTTGGCCTACGGCAAAATTCCTGAACTTGAACGCAAGCTGCAAGAGGCCGAAAAGGGCGGTGACAACAATGCGTCCTCCATGGTCGAGGAAACGGTCACGCCCGATCATGTCGCGCACATCGTGTCGCGCTGGACCGGCATTCCCGTCGACAAGATGCTCGAGGGCGAACGCGAGAAACTGCTACGCATGGAAGACGAGATCGCCGAGCGCGTCGTCGGCCAGGGCGAAGCGGTCCAGGCCGTCTCGAAAGCCGTGCGCCGCGCGCGGGCAGGGCTTCAGGATCCCAACCGGCCGATCGGTTCGTTCATCTTCCTCGGTCCCACCGGCGTCGGCAAGACCGAGCTGACCAAGGCCCTGGCG